CTAAAGAGCAAGCAACTGGAATGCCACATTTTTGATGCATATTTTTGCAGCACAGAGGGGATTAAATTCTAAATGTCTCAGCTGTTAAAGGCCCCTTTAGACTTGCCCAAAATGAAGAACAAAGAAGGAAAAAATTTTCCCTAAAGCAGTTCATCAGATCTATTTGGGCACAGTGACATCCTCTCAGAGCTTGTATGGATAAGTTGCGCTGAATAGTTCAAGGGTGTGCAGCTGCTTGGAGTATTTGCGAAAAAGAATTCTGTAAGTTTTCGTCATGCGTTCACGTGGGCTGGCCAATGCTCACCAACTGCCTAATGTCCAGCAAGGCTGTGACAACTGGTAGTTATATCATAATAATAACATCTTCCAATTCTGAGTGTTCACATTGTGCCCGGTACTGTGCTCTGCATTTTCCACCCATTGTATCATTTAATGTTCACACTTCTGATCTTAGAGGAATGACTTATTAAATTTATGCTTTTTTTTTGCAGTATGGAAAGTTTGTTGAGCTGAGTGTTATATGTTGTAAACTTGACAAGTACTTACTACTGTTTTTTTCTTACCTAATTGATGGTCATTGGATCTAGGAGATGCGCTGAGTACTTGAATAAATGCAGCAGTGATCACTTCCATAAACAAATTGTTAGACATAGAACACGTGTAACCAGGTAGTTTTCTAATTTGTTGAGTGTTGATGGACTCAAAACAGTTATAGAACAAGCCACTGATGGACTAAACTTAAGTCAGATAACTGGAACAAGATGTTGTGGTGTGTTAAATGGCAATTTCAAGTAAAATGAAGTGATTGATACATTTTTCACTTGACTGAAAAGTGAAGAATATTTTGGGATTATAAAACATAGCACTTTTATGCATTTATCCTTTCATTATCCTAATGTAAGGACTGAATATATTTGGCTTATTATTTTTTGTTTTGTGATTTGAACCCCATCTACATCCCTAGCATCATCTCCCACCAAATACAGTCTATGTACTCTTCCTACCAAATGACTTGCAGGTTTCTGACCAAATCAAGGCCTTTCAAACTTCTGTGCCTTAGTCTATGCTGTTCCCTCAGCCCGGAATGCTCTTCCCATCTCCACCTGTCCAACTCCTCCTCATTCTTCCAGACTCCATTTGAATACTATGACCTCAAACAAGCATTCCCTGAACTGTCCCATGCACATCCCTCACCCCATTCCCCAGGGCTGCCACGGTGTCCTGTGCATACCTCCATTACCTCACTTGGTATCGTTTGATATGTGGTACTATACTTTTCTGTTTACTTGCCACTGCACTAAGTTGTGACTCTTTGGAAGCATGGTCTGTCTTTTGTGGTTTTATTTCTGTTTTTCAGCACCTCACCAAGTCTGTACAGAGTATGGCCTCAATGAGCAATTGTGACTTGAAGGAGTGAATACATTCACATATGTCACCCATATCAGTATTTTGCTACTTCCCCAACTCCGCATCCCTGCCACAAACACACGCACCCTTCTCACCGCGTTCTGGTGTGTGTAGATTTCAAAAAGCCTTATCCATCATTTTTGTTGTAATTGCTGAAGCTCACGGTCATGATCTGGCAGAAGTGACTACGGTAGGCCCCTCTTAGCAAATGGAAGATTCATTCCAAGACCCCCAGTGGAGGCCTGAAACCAGATAGTATTGAACTCTATATATACTATGTTTTTTCCTATACATGCATACCTTCGATAAAGTTTAATTTATAAATTAGGCCCAGTAAGAGATTAATGGCACTTTGGGCCATTATTAAGTAAAATAAGTGTTTCTTGAACACAAGCACAAGATATTGCAACAATGAATCTGATATCTGAAATGGCTGCTAAGTGACTGAGATGGCTACTAAGTGACTAATGGGTGGGTAGCATATATGGTGTGGATCCGCTGGACAAAGGGTTGATTCACGTCCTGGACAGGAGGGAGAGGGACAGCCCAAGATTTCATCACACTACTGAGAATGCACAATTTAAAACTTATGAATTATTTCTGGAATTTTCCATTTAATATTTTCGGACTACAGTTGACCGTGGGTAACTGAAACCAGAGAAAGCAAACCTGCGGATAAGTGGGGACTACTGTACTTGAAGAATACACATTCATGTTGAGTCCTGTTGTCCTTGTCACCTAGAACACAGAACGTGCTTGAAGTTATACCTTTTCTAGCGAAATTTCAGTGTGGTTTTATACCAGCACTGTGAGAATGCTTTCATGCTAAACAAAAATGTGGAAGCATGAAGAAAGGCAAAGAGGCAGGTCCGGGCAGCACAACCGACATTGGGCTGGAAGCCTGAGCCATGAAAGGAGCACCTCTGCCCACCGCAGCCTATGATTCAGATCGAGCACAGAGGAGAGGGGTCTGGCTTCCTCGTTCCATTTGCTCCTCTCCTCCTCTCTGAGCTCATTACTTGCTTCCCTTTGATAGAACATGAGAGGCAAACATGGATTACTAGGGAGAAGGCTTTTACAACTGTGATTTCATTCCATTTTGAAGTTTCTCTCAAAACGGTTGATTTATTTTCCTCTCATGTATGCATTATGTATGTGTTGCTGGGCACAATCAGGAATTCAGAAAGGCCCTCCATACCTTTGTCCCCAACTCCCCAGCCATGCAATGCAATGCGGCAACCAAGAGAACGAGAGAGTTGTGCTGGGCTCGGGAATAGACAAAGGCACAGATCCCATCTGGGTCTCCTTCAAAGCAAGCTGCTGTTTTGCAACAAGCTACCAGATGGCAATAAAAAAGGTTCTTACCTGTTTACTTAATGGGTGACTGGCCTCTTTGCTTTTATTTAGCCGTCTGTTGTGGTCCATGTCCCTTTAAACTTGTAAGATCCATCACCGCATTTACGCTGTTACCTTGACACATTGCGACGCTGTGGACATAATGATTCCACAGAGGAGCAAATTAAAACGGTTTTTCATGATTAGAAGGTTAAATGAGGTAAGGCTGTGGTCGTTGGTGGTGAGATAAGGGGTTCTGAGGAGGCAGAACGCAAGGGACTTTCAGGTGATTGGAAAATTAGGCTGGCTAGACAGAGGGCTGGGGCTTTTACAAATTACGGGAACTGAACAAGAGCGAGGACTTCCTTTGGGTGTTTCTGACTTCTGGGGGCTTCTTCTAGTGCCCTTACAGAGACTGTGACCGTGGGCCCAGGGAGGACACAGGGGTGCTTTGGGGTCTTTTCTCTTTTGGGACATTCTGTGGAGAGTAAAAAGAAGCTGATTCCTCCAGGAAGTGGTAAGCTGAAAACACAACAACAGCAAACATTCAGTCATTCCCAGCAAGTTATCTGGCTTCTTTAAGTTTGAAGAAGAATCAGGGGCCAAGCCCAACTTCAGGAAGGAATATTTCATTGTGTCTTCACCCTGGACTTTAAGCTGGAGTTGTTCCTGATGCCTGCGCTCAGCTCTGCTCTTTCTTCTTGCTGTAGACTTGACCTTCCGCCTGACTCCTTGACGGCTCCACCCAGTTGACCCACCAATCCCCAAAAACTAGGACTTAGAAAGCCAAGGGCTTTATCTTCTCACTCTCTTAAATCAATTCCTGCTCCAGCCGCTCTGTTTTCTCCTGATATGACCAGTATTATTGCAGTTACCTAGACTCAGAATCTCAGGCATCTCTGAATTTTCTGTCTGCTGCTTCAGTTCAATCAGTAGCCAAGTTTTCTCCCTTCCCCTAAATTGAGTTTCTCCTGTGTTTTTCTGCCTTTTTATGCTCCCTGCCACTGCTCTAGTTTCTACCCCTCATTACCTCTGGCCTGACCCATTGGAATAGCCTCCTTACTACTTGCTGCCTACCTTCAGTTTCTCCTTGATCTAAAGTGTCTTAAATACTGGCGTTTAAATATAACAGTCACCTTTAAAAAAATAAAATAGACAAACAAACAACAATCTCCTTTGCTGTTCCATCGCCTAGCAAACTGAGTAGACTTCTCAGCTTGATATCTGAGGTGGTCCACCATCAAGTTATCATTTGTGTTTCCAGCTTTTTCTCCTTCTCTGTGCCCTGGTAAGACAAAGTGCTATGTGGCTATGAATAACCCATGTTTTCTTGCCTCCTTGACATATTCCCTCTCCCTAGAAAGCTCTGCTTACCCACCTCTACCAATTAAAACTCATGTGTTTTATCAAGCTCGAGCTGAGATGCATCTCTGCTTTCCCCTACCCCAGGCAGGTGCAGCTGCTCCTGATCTTGTTCCATGGCAACACATTTAGGGGGATGTACTTATGTTGCTTGGCATGGATTTTTTTCCTACTCTTATTGTTAGATTTTTGAATCTTACTTTTGCATATCCTTAGCACAGGCAAAGTTTTCTGCCTGTAGAGGGTACTAGATAAAGAAACAGAATAATAATTGATGATTAGACTGTATCTATAAGAATGTAAAAAATCCATCCATTCATTCGTTCATTCACTCAAGTATTCGCTGGGTGCCTACAGTATGTAAGGTACTGTGTAAAGGACCTGGGATAGAGATCAAAATGACATGGTACATCCCAGGATTCACAATGACATTGAGGAAAAGTCACGTAAATATACAAACTCAATGTACAACAACAGAAGGGCCTTCCAGGTATGGGAGTGGTGGGACTTCTTACCTCTCTTAGGGTGGATATGTTGGGGATGAAGAGATGATGGTGGGGAGGGAACTGAGCACTTAGGAAGGGCTTCCTATAGTTAAGAATGTCCAGTTTGGGTTTTGAAAACTGTATAGGAGTTTTCAAGGAAGATAGAGAGGTGTAAGGAAGGGTAGGGATGGAATAGAAAGATAATCCAAGAAAGCTCTCTGCTTGCTCTCGGAGGCCCAGTGCACTAAGGCAACCTGGTCACCAAATGATTATTTTCTGTCTCCAAGTGAAATGTCCTAAAGGCAGAGTCCTTTGAAAGAAAAAGAGAGAGGAATAAAGAAACCTCCCTTTTTGGCTGCTTTTGGTTGAAAGTCATTCATTCTTTTTTTTTCTTGTTTGAATGTTTTGTAGAGAAAGTCTGTGATTGCAGTGAGCTTCATAGCCGCGTTCCTCTTCCTGCTGGTTGTGCGCCTTGTAAATGAAGTGAATTTCCCATTGCTACTAAACTGCTTTGGACAACCTGGTACAAAATGGATACCGTTCTCCTACACATACAGGCGGCCCCTTCGAACTCACTATGGATACATAAATGTGAGGACGCAAGAGGTAAGACCTCAGGGGATTACCTAGGATTTGAAGGTATCCATGGTAACAGCTTTTCTTTAGGAGCAAGATGGCTTCCGATCACTGAACTTACTCTTTCTGCCCCAGTGAGCTGCTTTGGGTCCCTGACATTTTCTGTTTTCTCATTCTTAGACATTTGCTGACACATGTCTAAAGTCTGCTGCCCCTCCTACATCAAATCTTCTGATTCACTTGCTTCATGTGGAGTTGAGGAAGCAATTATCTGTTTTCCTGGTGGTTTGTGGCATAACATACATATCTTTCCATTTAGGAACTCTGATCAGCAGTTACCAGCTGGAGAACTGGCTGGCTTTAATTTCTGGAGGTCAACTGGTTGGGGACAGCTCTTTGTAGAACTGCAGAAAGGCATTTATACTCTTTAAAACTCTGTAATCCTTAGACCTGGAGCTAGAAAAGGCCAAGCTGATTTTAAAATTCTCAGTGGCTGCAGAGATAATGGGATTTAAAGAGTTTCCAAATTTAAAGGGGTTAAAATAATTTAAATCCTATAACCACTGAACCTCTAGATCTTTGTAGCCAATTGGTGGTACGGGAGAGGATGGAGGTATATCAACAACTAGAAAGTGAACACAATGTTAGCACTTTTGCAAGCAAGGATTTGTGTCATGGAGGGAAGTAAAAAAAAATGAACCTCACAAAATGTGTGAAGTATAGAGAAATGGTTAATAAAATTGTTGTCATTTCTATGGTGTGGGATAAATGTGAGGTTAATATTCATAGATGCAAACTCCTGTTTGAAGTTGTTGGTAACGAAGGTACAGGTCACCAGTGTGTCTACATCGCTGGAAGAATTTTAGATCAGATCTCATTGAAAGGTCGTTTTGTAAAGACACTGGAGAGGAAAGTCATGCACAGAATGCTACTCCTGTTCTGAGTGTTATTCTTAGCATCCAGGGAGGGATGCTGAAAGCAGGCTTGGTTCATTCCCTTTTGTAGGCAATATCATACCTGACTCATTGCTTCTAGTTAATTTGATTATTTGAAAATTGTTTCTGTATCTGCAGGATTTACAGGCTTTTTATTAGACCTTTATAGTTAAAAGAAAAAGGCACCATTAATAACATATAAATTCTTAGGAGCCTTGCTTGATGTTTATCCTTTAATTGGTTTTAAATTAATTTTTTAAAAAGTGTCCATTGTTTGAATTTGTTGCCTGTCTTAATAAATTGATTACTTATATAAAAATGTATCTCTTAGAGAATAGTTTGTCTCACTCTCGTCTCTTGTTACTTTTATTTCTGGCTGTCATTTAATATTCTATAACTCCACTGGATCGTGTTAATCATTTCACAAGGGCCTGTCACAGGCAGAAAATGAAACATGTGGCTGAAGTGTCTCACGAATTACTCTCATGAGGGAAATCCCACCAAATATCAAAGACCCTTTCATTTGTTTAAATATTAATGGATGGATTTTGGAGTGTTAAGGGAAAACTGATCTAAAGATGGAGTTATCTAATTAGTCATATTAACCAGGCTAGCTTTGAAATTCTTTTGGTATAGTTTTACTACAATGAATTTACCAAGGGATGTTGGCCATCATCTTGCTCCTGCAGAGGTTATTTCTTGGGGGAAGCATGATCACTGGAAAGAGTTTTTAGGCTTTGGAGGCACACAGGCATGGTTTGGTGCCAGTTCTGACACTTAAAAAATAGGGACAACAACGTCAACTAGCAAAGGTATTATGAGGATTAAGTAGGACAAAGTGCATGAGGTGCCCAGTTCCAAATTGATGTTCAATGAATGAGTTTCTTTTTCTTCCCCTATACTTATCAGTTATGATATGAAATGTTCAGTATGAATAATACCAAAATACCAAAGTCCAGAGTATGAGACTTAAATTTTAAAGAATCTGGACTCAGGGCAGTAAACACATGAAGGAGTTCCCAAGCTCATTAAAAATCAGGGTTTTGCAAATTAAAACCACAATGAGAGGGGGAAAAAAGCACAAGGAGGTATCACTACACACTAAATACCAAATTAGCAAAAAATTAAGAATCTGACAATACCAGATGTTGGAGAGGATGTGAAACAACAAGAACTCTTATGCATTAGTAGGGGGTGTATAAATTAGAACAACCACTTTTAAACAAACAGCTTCCTGAGTGGAGTTGAACATCTGCATACCCCATACCCCAGCATTTCCAGTCGTCGATATATTCAGTAGAGACACTCATGAGCACATGCACTGGGAGGCATGGACAGCGTGTATGGAAGCACTGTTCGTAACAGCTGGAAGCTGGAAGCAACCCAAATGTCTATAAGTAGAAGAATGGATTAAAATTGTGCTGCATACACTGGAATACCATACAGCAATGACAACGTGGAAACTGTAGCTATATGTGACAACATGGCTGAACCTTACACAAACATAATTTTGAGCAAAAGATGCAAGAATAAAAGAATACACACAGTGTGATTCCATTTATAGATCCCAGGAAGAAGCAAAACTAAATGATGTTGCTTAGGGACATATATAGAAGGTAAAACTAAAAAGGAAAAAAAAGCAAGAGAATTACCATCATATAAGTGAGAAGAGCAGTTACCTCTGAGAGAAATGTGTGCTTTGTGATCAGTTTGGGTTTCTGGGTTATCAGTGATATCTTATCTCTTGATCCAGTTGGAAGTTACATGGGTGTTCACATTCTAAATATTTATTAAGTATACATTTATGTTGTATGCACTTTTCTGCATGTCTATCATAATAAAAAATTAAAAATATATTCTGAGCCCAAGTAGGATAGTTATTGATCAGGATTCACACCAAACATTTCACCTAATTTAACAGCAAGAAATAACTAAAAAGAAGTAATTGGGCATTAAGCTATCTAAAACAAAGTAGAAACATTTGAAATAGGCGATTTCATTTTATGCAAAGACTAGCAGATATACAGGTAACTTATTTCCCTAGTCTATGCATGATAGAAAGAGAGGCCCCATATGGTAATATGAGCACAGATGATGAACAAAAAATTTTGAATGGAAGTTGAAGAACAACACAATAACAACCAAAGAGAATGACAGATTTTCCTCCAAACTGAAATAGTAGTAGGCTTAATTGGGAGGAAAGCAAAATTTTATGGCTCTCTACCTCCCTCCTCATTGATTTCATCTTTCCTTCTTACAGTCCCCCCACCCACCATGTCAGCGCTCCATTCTTATCCCAAATGCTCTGTGCATTGGTCCTCACCAAATGATGGCTTCAGGTGCAATCCTTCCGAGATAGTTGCATTAAATAAGACTTGGGGAGAAAAAGCCTTCAGGAGCCAAAATGATGTAGCTAAAATGATAGGTGGTAGATTTGATGTTCTAGAGCAAATAGCTTCAATAGTGACTCTCAAACCTTCCTTTAAAGGTAGCCACACACTCCTATGTCCCTATTCACTCTATTCTAATCTGGAGAAGAGTCAATAGCCATGGCCGAGCTGAGTTAAGTGATCACCAAGCTGATATATTTATTTTAAGATCTTGGTCCTTGAGGTTTCAGAAGTTTCTCAAAAGAAAGCAAATGCTTTCTAGAAACCACCGGACTTCCAAGAATTTTTTAAACATGTTGACGTGCCTGCAATGATTTCCAGACCTAGAGTATCTACAAACATGATCATTGTTTTTTTTTTTTTTAAAGATTTTATTTATTTTTTGCCCCCAAAGCCCCAGTAGATAGTTGTATGTCACAGCTGCACATCCTTCTAGTTGCTGTATGTGGGACTCGGCCTCAGGCTGGACAGAGAGGTGGTGCCTCGATGCGCACCCGGGATCCGAACCCCGGCCGCCAGCATCGCAGCGCGCGCACTTAACCACCAAGCCACAGGGCCGGCCAAACATGATCATTGTTGATGATGGTTTTATTGCCCGATGCTTCAGCTGGATCCGACATTGCTGCCACTAGACAAAGATTTTATGAGCAGAAATGTTTGCAAGAAAGAATGTCTCCACCACTGTCTAAAACAAAGTGGGGGTAGGAGGACAGAATTAGGTTGAAGACTTAGTGGACACCCACAGTGGTGATTGGCCATCTTTTGCCCTGTCCCCTTCCCTTTCTTAACTAGTGCAGGCTAAAGTTCTTATCTTTAGGGGAGGGGAAGTCTTGAGAAGCAGGGAAGCAAAACGAGTGCCAGCTAACTGGGTGACTGTTGAAATTCTGAAGTCTCTGCTGGCCACAGAACCCAAAATTCCTCATCAGTACTTAATGTTTGAGCTGACAACAACCAGGAGTTAGCGCCCAACCAAAGCTTGGACCTGGAGTGATTTAGTTTTCGCAACAGGCCCTATTCTCCCCCTGCGCCCTTTCCCCACCACTCCCTTTAATTCCTGACCCACTAGCTGCTCAGACTTGCTTTTTCAGGTCATTACTGTGTTAATAACACAACGCTTCATTTTAACAGGATTGAATTTGGGGGAGCCCACCTATAGTATTATGGCAGAGATACTGTATTATTATTTGACCTTGGACATAGTAAAAAGTGTATGATACCCATATGTATTTCAAAGAAAAAGACATAGCTATACTTGGCAATATCCTGTGAACTCTGCTTTCTCCTTACAAATTTTAATGATTCATTTTAAATTAATTAATTATTAATTATAGCAGCTAGGGAAGGTATTAAAGACTAAGAGACCACAGGGCTTGGTTCAAGGTAATCATTGTTTCTCTTTATTGAGATCATAGCAGATTTTGAGGAAAGAGAAGGAAATGCATTTCAGGCTATATTCTGCTTGTAGTTTCCAGACTGTGGAAGCAGTCATTGTATTGTCTTTTTTGATGGGTGACCTGGTGTGAAGACATTGCTCAGAGCAAGCAGCCTGTAACTGATTTGCATTAACTACTAGATAAGAGAATCAAGCTCTGGCGATCAATAGGATGCCACAGCCAGATCTTCCTGGTGATCAGTGGAGGTAACAGATGTCTCCCTCAGATCTGATAAGAGAATCCTAACATGCTAGAGCTGCAGAGGATTTCTG